AGGAGAAACAGGTGGTTCCTTATGGTTCCCATGTGGCCCTGCAGTACTATCTGTGGTGTGTGTCCTTTTTAATGAATTCTATTTTATTGTGGCTATTCTGTGTTGTTTCCACATTTGTAAGACAATCTGAAAAAGAATATCAATCTCATCAGTTATCAGGGCAGAAATAGTAAGACACAGATGCAACGGTAGAAATATCTTACCAGTAACTCCACTATCAGAGAAGCTGCCTCCTTTTTACAGAACTGCTGTCAAAAACTCAGACTCCTAAAGGAAACAGGCAGGTAAGAAAAAAGGGCTAGAATCTTCAGGTTTTCTCTCTAGATTAAGACAGCCTTTATTTTCAGATTAAATAAGAACCTTCACACATACATACACACATACACACACACACACACACATACACACACACTTACTTCCATTTTTCTTGGTCTATCTTTCTGCTCTCCACAAAAATAACAGTACATCTTAGTCTATTTTCTTTTGTTGTAACTGAGTGTCTGAGAACAGATAATTTATAAAGAACAGGTTTATTTAGCTCACAGTTCTGGAGGATGGGAAGTCCACAACATCAGCATCTGATGAGAGCCCTGTTACATCCTAACATGGTAGAGGTCATCACATGGCAAGACAAGAGCAAGTGGGCTAGCTAAGGTCTGGGTCTCTCTTCATCTTATCAAGCCACTTATGTCTTCATGAGGGCTCCACACTCATGACTTCATCTAATGCTAATTACCTCCCAAAGGTCCCGCCTTTCAAATATCATTAACATGAATTTGGAAATTAAATTTCCAACACATGCATTTTTGGGGGACACATTCAAAATCATAATAGAGGATATGAAAAAATGGCTAGCGGTGTTAGCAAATATGGAGGGACATTTAGCTTTGATGACTGAGAGTTAATAGGGAGTAGGGAGGGATAGTGGCAAAGCAGGAAGCAATTTCCTACCTTAAAAAAGGCATTATTCATTCTCAGACAAATGTCACCAATGTAACTTTAAATTTTAGTATGGTCTAATTTTAAATTTTCAAGAGAAGACAAAAATCGGGACTTTTTTTGTAAAGTTGTCTAGATTTTAAATGTTATCAATAAATTTAATTTTCTTCTAAAACAAACTGGGTCAGCTTACTGGCTGTCAAATTTTAATCCCACTACCAGAATAGGCCTCAGTCTTCCTGTATTTCTCCTTCCCACAATATGTTTAATACCTGTAATGTGCAAGGCCAATACAATAATTATATATTAGGCAAATCACTGTCAAGATTGAACTGAGCCGGGGATTTAGCTCAGTGGCACTCCACCTGCCTCACAAGTGCAAGGTCCTGAGCTCGATCCCCAGTACAAAAAAAAAAAAGATTGAACCATTTATTTTTCTATTTGCATATGATTTTAAATTCAGTGTTATTCCTCAGAGACACCCTAAAACCAATGTATTATTAATTAACATTTTATTAAAATTCCAAATCATGCCACTTATTCTGAAAGGGCAGCAACATAAACTCTTCAAAGTTAACTGCCTTGAGTAGGTTGAAAAATTATTTACAAATATGAAGTCAGTTTGGTAAATATCACATATGAGCTCTGAGCTTTTGGTTCTGTTATTTCCTCAGTCTGGAAGTGAGCCGGAAAATGATTTCTGAGCAAGAAAAAAAAGGTTTTTCCTGTGGCTAGCTGACCTAACTGACAAAGAGCCACCCCAGCTCACACCCCCCTCCCACACCTAACACATGTCCTCCTTCATGGTCTTCTGTTCTCAGGAAGCGTCTGTATCCAATGTACTTTCCTATCATATCAAATCATATAAACTAAATGTAACTCCCTCAACCAATGAACTGATGATAAATGCCTTGCTTCTGTATCCCCACCCCTCTTCCCTTGACCCATATCAACCTTGTTCACTGTCAGCTCTGGGCTGATTGCTTTGTGGAGAAATCCCCGATCAGTCCACCAGTGTAATAAAGCTGTACACTTGCCTCCAACCTCTGGGCCTGCTCTTGCTATACCACTAAGAGCTGCCACACTATGGACTGTAAGTTTGCCATTACATTAGAGCTACCATTTTTTCCTCTGTATAGTACTGTACTTCCTTGTCATCCTCAACACGTTCCCACCTGCTTGAACCACTGGTGATACATGCATGACTGTCCCATCAGGTGTCCAATGGCCCCATTGTGAATGTTAAACCTCAGAGCTTACTGTACACACTACTGATAGCAAGCCTTTATTGTTATCTCCCAAGCAGACTACAAATATCTTAAAGCTAAGGCCTATACTAACTTTAGGATCATATGAGCTAAATATGACCAGACGGGCTGTATGGCAGAATCCTGAGAATCTGTTCTGGTCAGAAGACCAACTACTTTCCAAACAGGCTACCATGTGCCTGGCATCTAATAGATGCTCATAAATTTACTCAAATAACATCAGATAAGCAATGATTCAATAGGCTCTGCGGTTAGGTAGAACCCTTGAAGACATCAGTGTAGGAAAAGATTTTATGAACAAAACCTCAGTTGCCTGTGAACTAGCACAAACAATCAACAAATGG